GGGTCTTCATTTTCACCTGAAGGTTGCATGGAATCCTGTCTGTGTTTCCTGTCTGCTTTCAGGAAAGCCCAGTCAGGATAACCACACTGCTCCACTGCTTTTTCTTTTTGATTTTTTGCCTGGATTACTGAGATGCATCAGGACATACAAATTGAATGCATTATTATGATTATGATTAGCATTATTATTATTATTATTATTATATGGCTTTAAATGCTGAATTCTGACAACTCTCACATCAAATTTTCCTGAATAAAATAGGTTGTGTATTAGAGGCAGTTACCCAGACTCCAATGAGTTGCCTTGGCGATTCCCACATTTGTGGGGGGAGGTGCAGAAGATAGCCACACTCCAGACAGGCTGAAGCAGATATGACAAACTAAAACTTTTAAAGTTTTAAAGTGACAAGTCAGCAACTACATATACTAATGGAGTGCTAATGGAAGTCTGAGGAAGTCTGGGGATTCACTTTCTGCATCCTGGGAGGATCTGGATCTGAGAGAAAACCTTTAGTAAGACTCTGGGGTGAAGAAGACAAAAAAAACCCTGTTTTTCATGCATAAACTATGTTTAAAAGAAAGTAAAGATTTGCAGAGTAAGAAGAGACAGTGTGACTTTGTCATTAGTGTAAAAATCATTGAAGGTACAAACATGCTTTTCCCATTTGAGTTCAGAATAAAGTCAACAGTACCTTGCCTGTACCTCCCTCCCCTCAGTAGTTGTTTTAAAAGTTATTTTGTAGAAAATGTTCAGTTACAGCTGCAGATCTCAAAGGGTTACATTTTGATCACAGATCAATAAAAGCRGTTTGGTTGTGCACGCGCAGATAAGTTTAAAGACAAAAGTTTGCACAAACTGAGCCTGCAGGGACCAGTCGGTTCAGTCAGTCTGGAAATGTGGAACCGAGCCAAATGGATCTGGGAGGACACCTGAGGAACATTACCTCAGATAACAGGAAACATCTATCATATGGGCAGGACTGTGGGTGGGGTGGCCAGGAACTAAGCGCACTAAGAGTAAAGACAAACTGATTTTACTCTAAATATAAATAATAAAATTAATGTTTAAGCTTTGGGTATCATTATGAAAATATTTTTTTTAAACTTACCAGAAAAGTTATCAAAGGCGGTGGGGACATATCTGGTCGGGTATCCGTTGGTTGTGTAGCTGACCACCAGGCTGGTTTTACCCACCGCTCCGTCACCGAGCAGGACACACTTCAGCAGCCGCTCCTGCGCCTGGCCCGGCCGCGCGGCTTTGGGTTTGTGCGGCGGCACCGGCGGGGCCATGATAACCGTCCGTCCCTGGTCCATCGTGGCTGCAAGGCAACCGGCGCTTCACCGCGATCAAACTCCCAGCATGAGAGCAGGCTCCTGCCTCTGCAGCTCCTCTTCTTTTACAYCGAACCGTGAAGAAAAACAGCTCTCCTCTGTTCCTCTGCCAGCTGCTGTCAGACCCAGAGCTGCTCCTCAGACCCCTCACAGGATCTACATCCTGCAGGACTCAGCTGGAGGCCGGGCCAAATCTGATTTATGTGCCCGGTGATTTGACTAAACCCTCCCACTGCAGGGAGGAGGACAGGAGCAGAAACTTCTGGAGAACTTCACAGTTTGATGATAAAGTCTGAATAAGCTGAAATTAACTTCTTACCGCTTAAAGGAGCAAAAACACCTGTTAAAAACTTAAAGTAACAAAAACACTAGCTCAAACTAGAATAAAGACTAACTTAAAGGAGCAGAACACTGACTAAAAGTTAAAAGAGCACAACAGACAAGAGCTAAAAAGATAGCTAAAAGCTAAAGAGGAAACAAGACTGGCTACAAACTTAAAAAACTAGCTAAAACTAACATAACATTAGCTCAAAGAAGGTAGAACGAGCAAAAATATTTGCTAAAAACTCGAAGTAGAAAAATGTTCTAGTGAAAAACTAAAAGTAACAGTAATAATCAGGCCTAATAATAATAATAATAATAACATCCCAAATGAGCTGACCATTGTGATAAAGGCTAAAATAAAGTTTGCAGAAGTAGTTAGAATGCATGAAAACAGAGAAAATAAACAAACTGGAAACAGTGTGAAAGCTGAACCAGCAATAAGAAGTTTCTGTCACTCATTTATTCCTTTTTAATTTAATATAAATGTGAGGTCAGTTTGTTGGAGCACCTGAAGACAAGTCCAGACTTGTCCTGACTGAAACCTTGGTGTTTATGTTCAACATGTTTTCAACATGTTAAACCACTCAGACCGTTTTAAACTCTGACTCACAAAATAAAATTAGACTAGAAAACAAAGTCCAGAGATGATTTCAAATAGTAATGTGATTTTTTTTCTTATTAGGTGTTTAAAAAACTCTGTTTAGTACCTCAGATTGTTTCATCCTAACTGGACACCAAATAATAATAAAAAAAAACTTGCCTTCTTTCGCCCCCTGCTGGCTGCAGCAGCAACAACAGTTTAACTCCTGAACTCAGGGTCACAAGTTTATCTTTTAATTGAAGATCATGTTTGAATTGATAAACTGTTTTAAAAAAAGGTCAAGCATTTTCTTGTTTGGTTGTGTTTATTTCCCGCCCCCCCAAGGTTAAAAGATTAGCTGTTTTCCAGAATACAAAACAACTGGTGCAGCACTAAAATGCATATATCACTTGATTTTAAAACCACCAAGAGTCACTTTCATGTTTGGATTTACAACCCTGCATCCATAAATATTAAAAACAACAAAAACAAAAAACGTAAGATGCAGAAAATTCCCAGCCTTTTATCTGTTTTAAAACAACTAAAAATGAACAAATAAATACTTCAATGAAGAAAACTGTCAGGGGTCACATTTCGATGCTGCATAAAGAAATTAAAGCTTTCAAGCTGAGAACAATTTTATAAAACAACAGAAATGATTCTTCTCTTAAGCAGAGTTCATTTAGGAGGAGAACTGAAGTGAAGTCTGTTAAAGCTAAAAAAAATTGAGCTCAAATTGGAAACAACAGCGTCCATCATAACGTGCTAATCTCCGGTCATAATCATGTGCAGATACAACAACGTGCTGACATGAAATCAGTGTTTCTTAAACTAATCCAACTAATTTCTGTAGATCCTGTTTACACAGAACAGCTGTTTCAAAAATAACACATTGCTGAAATCCCATTCAAGGCTAACCTACTGTTTATAAAAAGATTTAGAGTTTAAACAAGTCTCTTTAGTAATATATCTAATTTACTGCAGGGTATGAATCACCTGGAAATCACTGTTCTGGTTGTATTTTACAGTTTTTATTTTTATACAGTGATCCAACACTTGGAATTGGCAAATAAAAAACCCTCCAAACATGTCGGGATACATTCACACTGCAGATTTTTTTGTTCAGATATATATATATATATATATATATATTATCCATCCATTCATCCATACCCACTTTCTCCTTTCAGGGTCATGGGGGTCACTGGTGCCCATATCCCCTAGACAGGTCGCAAGGGCCACATAGAGAAACAACCATTCACGACAGTTTAGAGTTGCCAATTAACCTAACAGTCATGGTTTGTGGGAGAACCCTGGAGTAATCAGAGAAAACCCACGCATGCACAGAAAGAACTCTACCCAGAAAGGTCCTGGCCTGGGATTTGATCTGGCAACCTTCTTGCTGAGAGGCAACTGAGTCGCCGTGCCGCCCCAGTCTGAGCGTGACAAATCCAACCCAGGTATTTTCCATCTGTGGTAATCAATCTGTTACATGTTTCTGAACGGTCAAGTCTGGTTTTTACATCAATGAGGTTGAGGTATATGGATCTGTCTAAATATGGATATCATCACTACCAACATCATGCAGTTTAAAGCTTGAAACTCACAAATTTTCAGCTAAAGAACTGAAGTCCAGGTGATTTGTCTGTTTTATTTTTTATTTTATTTTGCCAGATGAATAAGAATCCACACTAATGTGCCAATCATTGCTAAATTCTGCAAAACTGCCCAATGTGACGTCACGTCTTTGTTCAGCGGGTCGCCTCGGGGCTGTGGACTGTTCAAACTGGAGTCTGACTGGATCACATTTAAACAATAACGTGAACGACCACACAAATACATCTGAAGCGAGCATTTAGACCTGCAGTGTGAAGGTATAGTCTGACTAACCAACCAGCGGCTCAGTTTAAACACAACCTGACGACACAGAGAAGCTGTGGGAAACCATGCCAATTCGTGTCGATACAGTAAATATAGTTAAAATGTCTCGAAGACAACAGGTATATTTTAGTTAGTAAGACTGAGAAGAAAACACGGGAGGTGTTTGTGGAACCGCTCCGAGTTCATTAAAGGCATCACAATGAGGCTAACATGCCGTCGGAGTTTTGATGGATCCTATTTGTCGACATCAACGGCAACGGAAGCTTTTAAAGCATCGACTGATAGAGAGAACAGAGCATCCTGAATCAGTTTGTTATTCCTGAAGCTGGTTTACTTACAATTCTGTGAAACACTGTTGTCCGGCAGACCATGGGCCGATAGATTTAAAGAAGTGGCTCTTTGAAATCGTGCGGTTTATAAAAAGGCACCTGCTGCGTCTCATGGCTTCACACGCTTCATCCACAGCTGGAGATACACAGATGATCTGCTTGAAATGTTAAAACCTAAATTTGCTTGTCCACCTAAAGGCATCTTTTTCGTTTACATCCAAAATATGACATAAAAAATGCAGAGTAGAAAGTAAAGCTGTGTGACTGAAAGTTGAGCTGTGAAGAAAGTTAAATGTTTTTGGAAAATAAGGAAGAAATGTGACCGTAGAAAGCTTCATTTCAGGACTTCTCTTCAGTAACATTCTGAGGATGAAAACGTGATCAGAAACGTACATCAATGCTAGTTTTACGATGCCAAGGTTAATAATGACCCTGTCTTGTCTCGTTGAATGAAAAGTTGGACGACAGTTTTTTTTACTTTTATCCAAACCTATTTTCAAAATCGATGTTCCTTTCTGACATCAGCACAGAGAGTTTCAATCAGGACTCTTCTAACCTGTTTAAATCCTACAACCTAAATACAGTCAGTGTTCAGTACCCTGCGTGATCCTCTCGGGTGTCTGGAGCGCCAACTTCTGGAGCTCTGAAAACAGACAGCTGAGTAAAACATCTTTCTGTGGCTTCTTCTGAAGTCGTCTTTTTTTCCCACGAGCTTTTACTGGGTTTTGGGTTTGGCTCCACTGGGCGTTGGATCGGGAGGAGGACCGCCACCCTGGACAAGTCTTCGCAGACTACGAGAGGAAGATAAAGTGTGCTTAAACACGAGCTAACATGAATTCCATTCTTTATTTGACTGATTTTGTTTTTTGAATGATGCTAAATCTACTTTAAACAAGACCTCCATTAGTTAAAGTGGGTTAACTGCTGTCTTCATTAATGAAGAGTAGAGTTGTGACACTTATCTGTGGTAAAACACAAATCTTTACAATGGAGTATTATTACTACGTTTTTAATTACGAGTATAAAGTCAAAATGTTGTGAGAATAAAGTCATAATATTACGAAAAAATAAAGTAATAATATTCCCAGAAAAAACGACATGTTCATTTTCTGTTCCTGTCGGCTCGTACCTGCTGTGCCTCTTTGTGTCACTGTGTTTATGAAGTAGTCAGCGATTACTTTTGGCCAATATTACGACTTCATTCTGGTAACATTATAACATTATACTCATATTATTTTAATTTTATTCTCATATTTCTTGTAATAGTACGACTTTATTCTCGTAATTAAAAAAAATCTTAAATTTCTGTCGTTCCCTCTGTGAGAAAACCAAAAGACAGTGCTACACTCACAAGTCCTTCGAGTCGTCAATTTGCGCCTGGAGTTTTGCGATGAAGCCATCCACCTCCTCCTGCAATGCAACATTTAGGAGAAAATAAATGCAATGGTTGTAGCAAGAAGGAAGGAAAAGTTTGTTTAAATGATTCTTACCTGGTGTTGTTTATAGAAAAGTGGCAAAGAAAAGACAGCGATCACAACTGGAGAGGAAAGACGATGGAAAGCAGTTATTATGTGAAGTCAGAGCATATTTTACATGCTGACGTAATCGGTCTCTTACTGATGATGATTAGAGTAAGGCCGTTGCTCAAGTCTCCCAGGTACGTCACCAGGTACATCAGAAACAGCAACTGAGACCAACACATACAGAAATGGAGAAAAATCAAAGAAAGCGACAGCAGGGAGTTAGTCTGATGTCAAGCAGATGCCCTGATGATCATAAAGCAATGATTTTACTTGTTTCCCACTCATTCATCCACATCAGGTGTGTCAGAGAAGAAACATCTAAAACATGCAGGACAGTGGTCCTCGAGGACCAGGACTGGACACCACAGGTTTAGAGTTTCAGACTCAGGGTCTCTGTAAAGATGGTCCAGCTCCCCAATATGAGACGCCTCTGTTTCAGAGAAAGACTCTACTGTGTTGCAGGTTTCTGTGTGCGAATCATTTCACATACTGAGCAGGTCAGAGCTGAGACCAGAAGGACCGGGGATCAGCAGGACTCCATCAGCTCCAACTGATGAACACTTAACATGTCAGCTGCTGGTACGTCACATATTAAAGTTATATTAACCCTCCTGCTGCTCTTGGGTCAAAAAGACCCACAATGCCTCAGTCTGAGAGTCCTCAGCATCAGAGTCATTTAGTCATGCTACTAATGCTTTGGTTTGACTCGTTGATGGTTTGTTTACTTGATAGAAGGTATGTGGGAATGTGCAATATGTGTTTATTGAGAAATATGTGTTTTAAATTTTTTGAGGTGGTCACATGAATTTATTGTTGTTTGTAGTGAATTTTTGTTGGGTATACAATGTCCAAGATGGACATTAATTTATGTGTACAAATACACATAAATTAAGGAAGAGATGTGTTGTTTGGTTGTGTCATAAAAAGATGTAACTTGTAAAAAAAACAGAACAGCTGAGGACAGAAGAAACAGAGGAGGTTGAAACAGATGAATTAGTTCAGCGATTTGGTCGTGACTTAAAGTGACAAGTACTGAAATTAAGCAATCACTGGCCCAACTAATGAGGTGACTGTAAGTTTATTTAAATCAGCAGGATTACTGCTGATTTAATTACCCAGGTAATAATGTTGTGTTGCTCTTTAAGCTGCTCTGCTTTAATTTTAATCACAAAATACAAGAAAGCATCAGCCAACAAACCTTTGTAGGTAGGAAGTTAGAACATTAAATTATGTGAGTGAAATCACAGAAAGCAGAGACGGTAAACATGTTCATCCAAAAACACAAATGCATATTAAGTGGGATATCTTACCTTAAGAGATTCGAAAAGGTTTCCTACAAAAACGAGTCTCTTCAGAGCCTCGGCAGCTGATAGAGTCAGAACAATGGCTCTCTGCATGAACAGGTCCGCCTGCTCGCCGCTGAAGCAGACGTCCTGCTCCAAGTATGACCTGATGGAAGAGGATCCAAACAAAACCAAGACGTTAGACACTGAAACATTACAGCCTCCAAATCCTTCATAGTTGGTTTCATATTCTCTCAAAAATGTTTTTTTTAAAGCTAAGTTTTCCACAAACTTCTCAATACATCTAAAATACATTTTTAAAGAAATAAACCTTCAGATTCACATCTTTCATGAGGTCTGGTTTAAAAGACACCAGCTTTTCATTCAAATTTTATTTTCTCTGCACTGCAGGGAGAAAAACACATTTAGATTTTTCTTATGGTTTTGGATTTAAATGTAGTTTTTTCCACTTATTTTTACTTAAAAAAACTTTTCTTAAAGCATTAGTGTTAACCAGCTTAGACCAACATCCTCAGACTTAAAGCTCATATGTGCTGCAGTCCAGCTGAGCTACAGTTAGACATTACCAGTTTCTGTTTCTTACTTAAAGCTTCTATTAGTTTTCTATTGTTATCATTTGTGACAAAGCAAATCTTTTATTTTATTTTTGAAGACACAGGTCTCGAGTGGGGCTGAAGCCTGTCTAAAGTAAAACCATCACATCCGACCTGCAGAAACCGCTGCTTCGACCCAACCACAGAGTTTGTGAGTGCCTGAGCCTCTGAGACCACAGATTACACAGCGGACTGTGAGCTTTAACCACACAAGTTCTCCCAAAGCCAGAAGATTAGCTTCTTTTAAAATGAAAATAAACCAAACCTTTAGCCATGCTACTGTCAAGGTTAACTTTTCATTAAAGAAAAGCAGCCGTTTGAGTTGAATTTAGCTGCGAAACAAACCCTCTTGGAGGCATTTCAGCTCACGTATACTGACTGTAAACTGGGCCGATCTGATCAGCTAAAGCACCAAAGCTCTCCTGCTGGGACTGTTTGCTTTTTAAAGCTGAGATTCAAGTGGAGTAGGTGAGTTTTCCACTGTAAGTTACTGGAAGCCATTATTCATCTGAAAACATAGCTCCTAATTTCCATTGCTAAAACAAAAAAAAGTGCAAAGTCTAATGTTTTTTCTTTCTTTCTTTTTAATCATGGCCACATTTTCCACCAGCTCAGCAAAGTTGCAGGATCAACTGAAAGCAGCTCCTTATTAAAACAAAAGGTCTCTTACTTGAAGGGGTGCTCTCCGTCCCTCCAGCCGAGGATGTACAGGAAGTGGAAATAGATGCGTGCCGAGATGGTGAAGCACATGACGGCCAGGGAGACGGTGGAGACGACGGTGATGATGCTGAGCTGGAACAGGGACAGCAAACCCACCACTAACCCAGTGAGCACCATGCCGGTTCGCTCCATGTCCTTCCAGTAGATCAGGTCCATCACTGAGAGACGAGCAGGTGGAAGGAAAAGAGGATCGAAGGGGAGAAACATGAACAAAGCTTTGACGATGATGGAAACGCCTCAGCTCCCGTCATTTCAGACCAGTTTGCGAAGGAAGAGCGACAAGCATTCAGTGTTTCTGACATGGGGATATGATGAGCACATTTCTTCACTTTGCTGTTGTCTTTAGTCTCTCTTCTCTACATGTTTATTGTAATTATTTCTATCAATAACATGTTTTTGCTTTGTCTCTTCCAGAAGTAGGTGTACCTGGACCAGTTCTTCTGTGTTTACCTGTGTCTCTTTCCTGTCCTCCAACCCAGCCGGTCGAGGCAGATGGTCTCCTGTCCTGAGCCTGGTTCTGCTGGAGGTTTCTTCCTGATTAGCAGGGAGTTTTTCCTCTCCACCGTTTGCTCAGGATGGGAGACTGTGATGAAGTGATTCAACACAATCTGCTGGGTTCTTCTTTAGATTGTTCTTTTTTTTCATGTACAGTGCCCTGAGACAACGTATGTTGTGACTTGGCGCTATATAAATAAACTGAATTGAACTGAATTGATGAGGAAGGAAGTCCATCATCAAACACGAGACGGGCTCCAGCCTCGGCTAAATTTAGCCCTCAGGTCAGAGAGGGGAAGTGGAGCATTTAAACCCAGCTGTTGGCAGCACCTGCTGTCAGACGTCAGGCTGTCGATCCTCCACGCCCCGTCGGGATTTCCTCTCCGTCACCAAACAAACAGCTGGCGTCCTCAGAGGCTTGTTTTACAACATTGGACCATGTTATTAACTGAAAGCTTTTTATTTAAAAAAAAGGCTCTCCGTTGACCTGTCGGACTACGTTCCTATCCTGACCTCTGGTCACAAACTCAAGGTGATAACTAAAACAATAAAATGGTGAATCCAGGAGGTCAAAACAAGTTTTCTCCTCAGAGTAGTTGGGCTCTCCCTTACAGACAGTTCAGTTATCCAGGAGAGACCGAGCAGAGCTGCTCCTCCAGATTGAGAGAAACCACTTGGGACTGGGAGAAGACCTCGGGAAAGACCCGGGACACGCTGGAGAGACTATCAGTACATAGAACCTCAGGTACTAACATACTGTGTTTCAGCTCTAGATCTGCACAATTTGCTGAGTTCCAGGTCGTTTTCTGTTCAGCTGGTTGAAGCCGCTACCTTGAATTGATTTGATGCGAAAAGTTGTCGATTTTAATCTTTCCTTTCTGCAAGTTTCGTTAAAATCTATCCAGTGGTTCGTGACGTATTTTGATCATTGTACAAACGTATGCACACACATTCACACACAATTAAAAAAAACGTTGCAATAATTCATAAGAACATTAGTGTTGTGGCTTATTTGTGCTTTGTTTGACCTCACTCATGACATTTTGGCTCATCAACATGTGCACACCGTCTGTTCAGCTCAAAGTGGAAATACTAAACAGTAGAAGAGGCCAGCTGGGTAACTGCACACCCCAACCACAGCAGCACAGTTTGAAGTCATTTGAATGGAAAATAAATATTTGAATTTAAAGCCACTGATACGGATTCTCCTCAGCTGTCTGAGCAGCCGTTGGCTGAAAGTCCAACAGAGCTGCAGCCGCCGCCTCAGAGAGGAGAGCAACCTGTTCAGTCCTCTCACAGCCTGACCTTTCCTCAGCCACGTCAAAGCCACGGAGCTGAAGATCGCACCATGGAAAAATAAAAACGGTTTCAGTTAAATCTCTCTCTCCTGCTCGGTTTGATCTTAGATCCAACACACCTTTCTGGGGTTCCTGTCACTTCAAAGCAAACAACGCTAGAACCAAACAGGCACAAAATAAGAGGTTTGACTGAAAAACACCTCACCTTTACTGTCCATTTTAGTCGCTGTTCTAGTATCTGCACGACCTCCGTCCCCCTCTAGCTTCCTGCTGTGCTCGCCTCACCCCTTTGAGCTGTTTTTGGCTCAGCAGGCCAAAGCCCCGACAGCCCAAAATAATTGTGTCACAGCACCGCCCACCACGCCGCAAGACCCCCAGAGCGTTCCACTCAAAGGGACCAATCATTCCTATTTATTTTTCAGTACTGAGTTAGTGTTCGTTTCAAATTCTCAACACACAGCTCGCTGAAACCTAGTAACCTAGAAAGCTAGTTTTGTTAACAAAAGAGCTGGTCTGAAAACTTGATTTTTGTTGGTTTGGAATCATCTGGAATTCCAGTCATATTATTTAAAAAGTAATCAGAGAGTTTTACAAAAACACCAAACATTGTCCTGATGTATCTCAGCCATCCAGGTAGAAAAAATAAAATAAAAAATTAAGTAGTTCCTCTGGACGGGTTCTTCTGTAATGAAAGTCTCTCCTCCGAGAGACTTCTTCAGTGTGAGGAGTTTTATAACATCAAACATCATATGAAGGGATTTCCAGGTGTTGCAGCAGAGAAGAATGGCCCATCTCAAAAGGTATTTAAGATTATTTCTAAAGGCAGTTAGAAAATTTCGATTTAAACACAGATTAGGAAGATTATGTTAATTTAGTTGTTGGAATTGCAAGCTTTATTGTCTTGTTTTCATGCAAATCTCAATTACAACTAAAATCAATATTTGAACTTATGCACTGCAGTATGATACAAAGGGCTGCCATGATTTGTCGATGACTAATCGATTTTTAAAATAAACGATGACTAATTTAATAATCGATTAATCGTTTTCTTTTCTTTTTTTTGTTCTTTACTTTGTTTTTCTCTCCAAACTGCTTTGACACCTTCCACTGCCACATCTGCCTTTCTGTCCTTGACACACATGCACAGTAGTGGTAACTGGGGTAGGCCGTGGACGTCACAAGACATTATACAGACAGGCTCTGGTATCATGGCTACCCAGCAACAGAGCTCAAAAGTGTGGGATCATTACAAGAAAATGAAAGAGAAACCTGTGAAACGCAATATTTGCAAGGCAGGATTTACCTTCCACAGCAATTATTTTTAGTTAGCATATAGTTAAAAATCTAACCATGGTTATATAATAGCAGCTGCATTCTGGCGTGATAAGCTGTATGTTTTATATTCAATTAACGTACGATCCGATTAGTCGACTAATCGAAAAAATAATCGGTGATTAATCTATTATAAAAATAATCATTTGTGGCAGCCCTAATGATACACTATCCAATATGCAAGTAATAAAATAACACACAAACTGCTTCCGAATACTTTGAATGCAACACTGAACTCTCATCAGTCTGATCAAACAGCCGCTGACAGTCTGACTGTGTGCAGAACTCCCACTTCCACTAAAATGAGTCAGAGCTGTGTGACCATTGTCCACTTGAACTGACGTCAGGCTGGGGGACAGAATCTGATCTATTTGCTGCCATAGTCTGCACTGAGAGAAACTCTGTACGTAAATACCAACTCCAGAATAAGTTGGCAAAAGCCAGGAATGTTTCCACCTCAATCACTGATTCCTAAATTCCCAGGAGAGAGCTACGACAGAGACACGAAGAACATCCAGGCCTTTTGTCTTTGCTCCTGACGGTGAAATCTGATCGTTTCTTTGATTTAAAGTATTGATTTGTGAGCTGAGTGGAAGCATCTCTCTGAGGACAAAGACAGACAGACATGTTTGGGGAAGAGGGACGACCATCGCAGGAGCTAACCTAGCAGAGACAGCCGGGCAGTGAAACGTTTTTACCTGCTACGTGAGCAAACACCGTCCYGTCCTCCGTGAGGCTGTGTGCTGAAAACCAGTGACCGCTAACCAGCTGTTCCTGAGAGTTAAGGCCGAAAACAGCCGGCGAGGAGCTCCCTCGGTCTGCGGGTCGCACGGACGTGAGCAGTGTGACCGATATGCTTTCCATGGTGACCGGAGACTCAGGCTCCGCGGTCGGTGAGGCTGGAAAATAAAAGAAAAAGAGACGATGTTACTATAATCATCATCGGTCAGGTTGCCATACTGCTTTATCTGAGTGAGCTGGAGTTGTTTCACTCAGCCGAGGCACTGCAGAATCATGAGTTGTAGATTTAGTTTATTGTTTATAGTGAGTCACCAGCTACATCTACAAGGCAGCATGACCAATTTGATGATGCGGTTATTGAATAATGACACCTTTTAAAAGCAAAACCATCAAATTATTCTAGATACTTTTCAAAGAAAGAGATAGTTCAGCTCTTTTGTAGTGCGGTTCTGAGAAAAGCTTTAGAACAATAAACAGCTTGGCTGTCACAGATCTCTTTAAATAGATTCTATTTAGTAAAAAATAATTAAATTCAGATTAATTTGTCAGGTTCATAAGAAAGACTGAAGACCAAACTTACATTCTTAAGTTTACGTTATGGCTGTTCGAGCAGAAATGAAACCCTTGTGTGTGTACTGGKGGTGCTACAGCTAGCTGCTGCAGCAGTTTGGGCTGAATTATGTTTTCTATAGTGGTATTAATTAATATTTTCAGATCTTCCAAGGTGCCAATTATGGAACTCTCTGCGCATTGTTGCCCAAATCAAATTCTGGAAGTGGTCATTCAACTAGATCTGTTACAAAAGGACAACTGATATTACCAACTTTTAAAAACTGTTACGGCCAGAGGTCTTTCTTCTATGTTTATACRAAAGCATGGAATGACATTCCTCAAAACATAAAGTCCATTTCAAAACTACAGCGCTTTCTTTAAGCCCTTGTCTGCCATCTGCTGGACACTTTTTGTTGTGCTCATATTTAGACGTCCTATTTTGCAAATGCTGCCTTCCTGAAATTTGGTATGCTTGTTTGTCTTTATGTCTATGATGTATAATGATGTGATTGTGATGCTGTAATTCTGAGTGTTTTATGTGCTGCAGAACAGGAACCTACTGTAAAACAGCAATTATGCTAAGTCAGGCTTGATTTTTAGTAATCTTTTCCTGTTAAATCAATAAATCAAATCAAATCAAATCAATATAACCACAGACTACAACTGAACAACAACAGCTAACCTCTAGTCTTCGCTTCGCTTAAACTACTCATTAGTTTGTTTGTTTTTTCAAACCAACAATAAATACACTAAAAAATATGTACAACAGGTAAGATATTAACTGTTWATAATCTTTTCACAAAATTCCTCTGTAAAATATATAAAATATTCCCCTAAGGCTCTCTGACTTTTGGATTTTCTTATTTTAATTTGTGTCTTTGTCACATCGGATCATGTGTGCCTCAGGAAAAAGAAAAAAAAAACAGGTCATCATGCTGGATGTCAGACTTTACATTTAGCTCCTGGCTTTTAGGAAATAGTTTGATACAAATGATAACAGACAGCAGAGAGGAACTGAAGCCTAAATGTGCTTTAAAAAGACTTTGTTGTTATCACTTTGGAAAATTRAATAAAAATGTTTGCAAAAACAAATAAAGTGGTGTTTGATTTGTTTACTGCCTGAGCAATGTGAAGAAATTATTACAGTGTGGTTCAGTTTATTATAAGCCTCACTGTAATACGTTTTATTTCTTACCCTGAGCTGTCTGTGAGGAGTTCTGTTGGGCCCGTGAGGCAGGCTGGACATTTTGATTCAAAGCCTCCACTCTTTGCACTCCTCCATCTCTCTCCTGACTCTCACTTTGCTCCTCGTCCTCGCTCCCTGCTGCGCTCGAACTCCTCGGTTCGACCTCCTCCTGCGACGTTCCCTCCTCTTCGTCTCGGCTGAGAAATGCCTGCGGGTCCCAGTCCACGTCGGGGGAGTCCAACAGCGTCTCCAGAGTGTCTGTTCGGACCAAAGGGGAGCGGCTTCCCCGAGGGCCGCCCCTGCGCCGCTCGCGGTGGTGCCGCGAGGCTCCGACGGCTTCGGCCTCCGCGATGGCGATGTAGGAGAAAGTCAGCTCGAAAGAGTTCTGGCGAGGGGTGCCCCAGATGGACGAGGAAGACGCCTGTCCTTCATCGTCTTCAGGATCTGCGTCCTCCTCGTCAGACCACTCTCTGGCTGTTTGCAGCTCAAACACCTCTGACTCCTCATTCCCACCTAAATGAAGGGAAGACAACATAAAACCAATCAATACTGTTCAAATACTGACAGATTTTTTTAGTTATTAGTTATTATAAGGTTATTCCTTTAAAACAAAACATCATAAATTCTCCATAAAGCTTTAATTCCTTCTTGATTAACAATTCGTGCCTTATACTCATACATATTTCTCCAACAAATTTACCTTTTTCATTTTCATAAATATACACGTTGATCTGGCATTTTTAACATCATCTTCCAGATTCTTCCATTATTTAATTACCTGGACTGAAGTACTCCGTTCCTTCAAACTGGTTCTAACTTTAGGTTTGACAAACATCTCTAGCCCCTTCAAATTTTACCAGCTCACTCTTTTAACAAAATGTATTTGGATGTTTGAAAGTAATGTGTTTTTATGAGCCCTATACATAACTGACAAAATACTATAATCAACCAAATCAGAGAATTTCAATAACTTCAACTGATGGAACAATGAATTTGATGGGTGACTGTAAGGTTTTCTGGTAATAATTCTTATTTTACTTTGTTCAGGCATAAAAAAGCTTTTACTTAAAAAACAAACTAGTGTCGACACAAACAAATCAGCCTTTAGACACTTTGTTTACCCTATTTCCTTTTTTAAAACATTAAATAAACATCCACGTGTCCCAATTTCCTCTTTTTTTAATCACATGCTGCACAGGTACAAGAACTGGACACAAACAATCAAAAGAAACACTTTGAAACATCTTGAGAAAACCTGAAGAGCTACAAATCAACAAATAGATAAGAAAATATGTCCTTTTAAAGCAAAGCATCAAGAGAAATTAGAGGTGGATTAAAATGTGAATCAAACTAAGCAGTAGATAAAAACGTATTTGACAGAGAACGCGTTGGGCAACGTCTGACAGTTATCTGATGAAAGCTGCTGCAGCAGCTGTAGTACGAGGTCAGCGTTCTGCTTGGAATCTGAGCTTTTCCTCACTCAACAGGAACATCAGAAAAAAGCATCAAAGTGTTGTTGGAATTAGAGAAAAAAAGCGTGGCATCTAAAGATGAAAACCTTTTAAAAATTGAAGGAAATCCTTTCCTTCAAAAGACTTTTTTCTTCACCTGTGGACTCTAAAAACATGAATGTTTGGATGTTTCTTACCGTCCGTACACGGAGGTGTTGAGTCTGGAGTCGATGCTACAGAGCCATAATCCTCTGGAAAACAAGCAGTAATTCCACATGAATAAATAAAGATAATAATCATGTAAACTGTACAAAGAGTCCTCTCAGATGCTCACTACAGGTATTCCCCAACAAACACTGAAGTATGTTATTAGAACAGTGAAGTTTCATGTGTATTTCATGTAAAAATATACAGATATGACCAACTAAAGTCAGAGTTTTAATGAAATTACTCTACAAACCCACAAACAGAGCCTCTGTTTGTCCCTTTAAGTGCATACTTCACTCACTGAGTTATTCTGACAGGAGTAAAAAGCCTCCACTACATTATCATATAAATCAAGCAGGCAGCGCAAATAAATGKAGCACATTCTGTTCAGCAGCTGAATGAACACAAGCAAATACTCAGCCCCTTTAATGTATGAGATCAGCTGCACACTGAGGCAAACACAACTGAAGGCAGCAGCAGCAGCAGCCTTCATGGAGAAATAACTTCAAGCAAAAATAAAAGCTTCACAACCAAATCAAGCAATGAGAAGATGATAAAGGTCTGTGTTGCGGTCATTCAGTGTTTGTTTAGGGTAGAAGCAGGAGGGAGGAGGAAAGGCTGAGCTAACACAAACACACGTACAGTACGATGCTCAGAACAGTTAGCAGGAAAAAAAAAAGGGGGGAAGATGCTGAGCTGGAATGAGATGACGACTAAGAAATGCAGACAAACAGAAGCAAAACAAACCCAGACTTACGGCAGTGGGAGAATCCTAAAACCTGGCCCATACTCCATCAAGGCATCGCTGGGCCCATCCAGTCTGGAAGGCCCACCCCCCGCCTCCTCCTCCCAGCTTCCTACATCTGCTGCCGGCACCTCACGTTCTGTAGATTCACTCTCCTCCTCTTCCTCCTCCTCCTCCCTGTTTCCTGATGGTCTGCTGAGCAGCTTCCTCCCTCTGCTGCCTCTGTTACTCAGCAGCCCCGCCCTGCCTCACTCCACCGTCGGCAGCGTCTCCARTTGCATCACTGCGCCTGCAGCGGGAGGAGCGTTCGCTACGGCACAGAGAGAGAAACACGTCTGCCGTCATCTTCCGTTCACAGCCAATCTGCATTACAGGAGGCAGCGATATGTTGTTAATAATGTAAAACACAAGCAAGGGCAAAACATGAAACAAAGAATTGATTTCAAAATGTTTTGCATTGAAACAAGCAATCATAAATCCTGCACAACATTTAATATAAAGGGTAACATGCTTAAAATGGGTAAACTACTCAGTAATAATAGGAAAAGAGAAACAAAACTTTCTATTTCTGACGCTTTTAATTCTATAATTTACAGGTTTGAGTTCCAGCTTTAAACAATAATTYACACGCTAACACAGTTTTTTGATTTAAACTTGAACTAAAAGTCATTTTATTGTCTGAAAATTGGTTTGGAATGGATTTTAAGAAGTGGCGTCTTGGGCACCCAACTCCCTGTTCAGACTCTGATGATTGTTTACATTAAAAATCATTAAAATAGTTACAATCGTCTGGACTGGTATGTTATGTGTCCTTTGAGGATGTTTTGTCAGGCAAAACATAAACCTCTAAGAAATTATGCTAATTTTACTGAAACATGTAAAATGAAATCAAATAATTTGTATATTTTTTGATGTTTTAGTTTTGTTTTTAGATCAAGCTCCTATAAGGCAGTCWTTACTGGAACACTCTTTTAATATACCATATACTAAGCATCTATTTTTATTTTTAGGTTTTATTAAACTCCAATCTTTTTTAAATGTCAGGATGTTTTACATTTATTTGATTATTGTTGTTAAATGTTTATGTAACTGATGCTCTGTGTTCCAGGTCTCTCAGACTACCAGTCTGAATGAGATCACCTGGATAAATAAAAGTAAAGTGAAACTTTAGAAATTTATAATTATTATACATTTGTTGGCTTGATAACGTTTAAAAGCGCCTGTGAATTATGTTACATAYGAACCTTGAGCTCATTCCACCTCATGTGATCCTGTTTTCTGTGTTCAGTCGACTCAAACAAACCCAWCTGACACCATGAACTTTCAGCAGAAACCAACACAAGTTGATAAAAGGTTTAGTTGTAATTATAGCTGGATAAGAACAGCTTCACATAAAGCTCCTCGTAACTCCATCCAACCAGGTCAGTAACTGTAAATAAAGTTAACCAGATTAAAACTTACTGCACTTAGCAGGACTGCGTAAACAGAATTTACTGCTTCGTAGTACTATCCATTTTCAGACTACGGTTTCATGTCTCAGTAGGATTCTGTAATTGTGTATGCATTTTCATTTGACCCGTCCTATATTARGCATTTTTAGCTCTTATTCAGATCATTTGGGTTCTAACTCAAGAGTGAGCCAGTTGAGGTGGTTCGGTCATCTGGTYAGGACGCCTGGGAGGTTTCCTGGCATGTCCAGCTGAGAGGAGACACCAGGGAAAACCCAGCCCACCGTGGAAASATTATGTCTCTGCAGGCCTGGAAACACCTTGGAATCCTCRAAGAAGAGCTGGATGTGATGGAGATGTGCGGGACTCCCTGCTCAAGCTGCTGCCCCTGCGACCCAGCTCCACAACAGGCAGCAGATAGAGAAGGGATGGATGGATTAGTGGCTAAAAATAACCTTTAAGTACAAATAATGTGATAAAGTCATTGTCAGGTCAGCATGTTTAGTAGTACTTATTTGTTTCAAGAAAACATTTGAAAAAGGAATAATTCACCAAGAAAGCAAATAAGTAAGAAATAAGTATTTTTTTCCAGAAAAAAACTTACAAGATTCCTTATTTTAAAGCTGCTGTATGACTAAAAAAATGAATGGAATCATCTTAATCATTCACTGATGACAGTTTAAAAAACAGACCTAAGAAACATTTAAAAAAAATTGATAATAAAAGGTAGCCATTTCCTATTTACAAGTTTTCTTTTTATGTAAAAAAATGGCTTTATATTTCATTTCTGAAGCAGGGTAGTTTTGGAGCTCCGTGTGCCTTAGTAATAATAGTAAGGATTATTATTATTATTATTATTATTATTATTATTATTATTATTATCATCATCATTTTTTTAAGAAAAAGTGTTTTCAAGTTATTCCTGAGTTTTGGAGCCGTACAGGGGGACATGAAAACTTTACTAATCTCCGAGTTTTTTAACAAGTTCTCTAAAGCTATGGAGAAGAAACAAGCACAGTACTGTCAGTACTCAGATATTCAGATGCACCTAAAACAAAACAAACAAAAATTCATGACAACAAACACTAAACCTGTTTGCTAAAAATATCTTCTTGCATCAGTTACTGTACACATGCAAGACAAACAGGATTTCGTTTCATTACATAAACCCTCTTGCTGATAATCCACGTGTAGCTGCAGACGCAAGTTATTAGTGGACAGATTAGCCAGCAGTGTCACACGGAGAGGAGGAATAAATCACAGATTAGCCAATAGAAAAGCAGATGARGAGCTCTGAGTGGAAAGAAGTGAAGGAAGGAGGATGAAGTAACGCAAGCAGAGACAAACGTTTCCGCTGACACGAGAAAAGGATTTGAAACGATGGAATTTCCACAGGTCTGGTTCAGGATGAACAAAACGACTTAAATTTTTTGTTCACTTATTACGTTTGTATTTCTTAGACATTTACGTGAACTCGTTTGCTCTTTATCTGCTCGGGCTGGCGCAGATTAACTGTTGCCCTGGACCTGCTGAGGAGAACCCACGACCGGAGGAGGGCCACCCGGAGGAGACGGGACGCCGCCCGGTCCAGCAAGAGGCTTGAGCTCCGGTTCCGCGGGGTCATGAGGACGGCYAGGCGAGCCAGCAACGTGGAGGTGCCCTCCTTCCTCCGCCAGCTGGTGAAGGAGACGGAGAAGATGGTGACGTTCTTCTTCAAAGGGGGGCCTAGGGAAAGAGGGCCGGAGGAGGAGGACAACTTTAACGGGGARGGCGCTGTGCAGAGCCCCTACCTGGAGCGTCCCATCTTGGAGAAGCACGTGTCGGAGGGGGGGTCTCAGTCAGGGCTGAACTACGCCGTGGCGAGCATGCAGGGCTGGAGGGCTCAGATGGAGGACGCTCACACCTGTATGTCCCAGCTGAAAGGAGAGCTGCAGGACTGGGGATACTTTGCAGTTTTTGACGGACATGCAGGCACCACAGTGGCACAGTACTGCTCCAGAAACCTGCTGCATCACATCCTGACAACAGGTACACAAGTATTACAAATTTAAAACAGTTTTTAAAAAAAATCTATATAGAAATTGTTGCTTTAAAAGGGGCTATATCATGTAAAATCAACTTTTTTAAGTTTTATATTATGTTATAATGTTATCCTCTCGTCAAAAACATGCCCAGAGTCTTACTTTGACTCATTTATGCATGTTTGAGAAATTCTGTGCTGTCCTGAGGCAGCCAGGCAGGGGAGCAAAAATGACCGGTTGGGACTAGCAATGCCTTTTGGGACCATCTCTGTCTCTGGGATGCGTCTCCAAGCTGAGCGTCCTCATCACAGAGCACACCTCCCCACCCCACACACCCCGCCCATGACTCATGCAGGCTCTCGGCAGTAACAAAGCAAACCACAGATGAAACTGAAAGTGGAACTGTCTGCTGAGCTCCTAACACTACTTC